CTATATATATATATATATATATATATATATAGTAGTATATATATATATATATATATATATATATATATATATATATATATATATATATATATATATATATATAACTCACATGTTTTCTAAATAAATCTGCGTGTTGTCCTAATGCTGGATCTGTGACAGCAATATAATGTATTACATCTTCAATAGTCCATTCTCCTGGTTCAGTGGAAGGAATACGATGCGCAGTAGTTTCAGATTGAGTAGTAGACGTTGCTGCTTCAAGTTCTAAATGTAAACATTTTTTATTTTTTAATTATAAATAGATAGATAATTATTATAATACAATTTTAGACAGAAAATATAGAATACTTGCCAGGAACGGACTTACGAGGCTGTTTTACAGGAGGCTGTGTAGGAGATGACACTGTAGAATTATTTGTACTTTGTACAGTAGTTTGATGATTTTGTTGCGATGTAGTAGATGTTAAGTTCTGTTGGCTTTGCGATGACCACCTTCTTTTTTCTCCTATAGTGTTATTTGTTTCTTCACTATTAGCAGATTGTGATTGTTGTATACTGGGACACTTGCTACAAGCTTCTTTCCTCTTGACTAACATATATTCACACGCACAGAGACTCTCGAGTTGTCGCCTAATGTATGTATAAAAGTCTTCTTCTTCCAGAAAAACAGGTAATCTAACAGAGGTAGGTTTACTTTCCAGAATCAAACTTATGGTTTCACCTTCGCCGCGTTTCAATAAACTCAACATTTGTCTGGGACTCATGGCTGCCATTAAAAACGCTTGGAAGATATCTCTCGTGACATTTAATATAGAACCACCAAATTGCGCCGGCATGGCTTTCACTTTTCGAAAATCAAAATATGGCCCGCAAGAACAATTGTGATTGACATAAATTGTAACTGCAACATACAATAATTTCAGTGTTTAAAATTCCTTGTTCTTACATAAACTTTATTTTTTATGTAAGATCTATTTGCACACTGTATTTTCATATAGAATATTATTTTACTGACCATTTTCAAGTGTATGTGGTTTGGTATTGGCTGTGCTAGTATCGGGTTCTGTGGCTGGTTGCGGTGGTGCACTAGAACCTGCAGGGCTCACTAATGCAACTGCTGGTTCTCTGCTGGTGTTACTTCCGGATACTGCCATTACTAACAAAACATTGCTGGCGGCTCGAGACTTAAATTTATTGGGACCTGTTGCTATAGAGATTGAAATCGAAAGTTATTGATAGAAGTGTAAATTACAAATATTTTGATATACTACAATTATGTAGTCATATTGAACATTATAAAATACTTATTCTCGTACATTTCTGTCTTGGTGGTTGCAACGGGTGTCCACTTTTGAAGCACCATCCTGCAGGGAAAATATCTCGCGAATCGTAACGGCACCAATAATCAAAAGCACCACGCCAACCGTCAAATGTAATGTGTATCATATCTTCCTTAACCGCACCAACAGTTGCAGTACATATAAGTTGAGGATTCTTTTTATCAATTGCTTCTAGTTTATGCCCCACTTCGAACATATTAGTACGTGGTGTCTTTGGTTCACGTTTAAATACTTTTGCTGGTGCCATTTCGGCACCATTTAACGTTTTTAGGAGAAACATCGGCCAACTGGAAGCATTCATTCGAAAACCTAGCGGCGGTTGAAGCATTCCACCAGATTTCTCGCAATGACCTATGGGATGTATCTCATGACTGTCAACCAATCGCCAGAAATCGTTCTTATTGTCTGAACCATCTAGTCTTAATCTCAAACGTGGTCCAAGAACACCTACAACAGTGGCAATGCAAGTTGACGTTAAGTTTCGCGGATCCAATGCTTCCAGTTTCATATTGATTTTAAATTCGTTTGTTGGTGGAGCTTCATGCTGAAATAAAATAGAACATGAGCTTATGTATATTGTAAGCATTCTGCTATATAAGTATTTGTGCATATTTTGAAAATATTGTAAAAAATATTTTGTTTACATTAAATTTTATATTTAAATAATAAAATTTAGAATTCAATATTTAGCTAAATGCATAATATATTAATGTATTAATATTTACCTGTTTAAAGCAATCAAGTGGAGCTGCTGTGCTATTTGTTTCTCTTAAATAAAGATCCCAGTCGAAAGTTTGATAAGTTTCAACGTGAAATGATCCTGTGGATGTTGATGGTGAACGAGATATAGTTGTATGATTATTTGTATTTGTGTAAGATTGTGTGGTTGATGGTATATTATTGTTGCTAGGTAATCCAGATGGAGCAGGAGATGGTACAGGTGACGATGGATCCCTGTTATCTATCAATTTAACAGATTTGTCATCGCTACAGAAAATTGCTATAAAAATTAATGCTAGTTTACATAGATATATGTGAAATATATAACCACTTACTTTTTTTCGTGTCCGCTTGACCCTCTTTTTTCTGATATGCATTTAAACAAAAGGAAGAGCAGAAGTCCTTTGTTGGGCCATCTTTTAGTTCTAATTTAACTGGTGTTCCTTTGATCACACTATCACATTGCGTACATGCTCCTCGAGCATAAGTTTTACGAGATTCAGATAGACATGTCTCTGAACAAAACTCCTTCTTGCCGTGTTGTGTAGGAAGAACATATTTCAATGGTTGTTTGGTTTCTCCACACCAGGTGCAAGAATTCGGCTTTGACTTGGGTGGTCGTCCTGGGCCTATCGTAGAAATATTTCAAGTTATTATTTATTTCAAACTTCTTTTATTTTCAAATTTAAAATAAAAACATACTCGAATATATAAAATTACAATAATAAGATAAAATAATAATTTATGCTAAAATATAATACAAATATTTAATCAATACGTCAACTTATAAATATACAATAAGGTTATTTTTACAAATATTTTCGTATACCTCGCATTTTGTTCGGTGTAGACATGTTTCGTCATATAAAGGCAACGATTAGTAGTGAAATCGTTACAAGTCAGCTAATATAGTTCAATAATTAAGGTCATGTTCGTATTCGATACCAAATTTTGAAACGCCACTCAGTTTGGTGCCGAGTCTTAACTTGTACGAAGATAAGTTATCACTGGTGACACTTGTACACAACAGAATATTTACACACAGATTCCTTTATTCACTGTAATTCGATCTGCTGTACGGTAATTGTATCTGGATAGTTAAAATAATATATCCCGCATTAAAATTTATTGTGTCAATCCGCCATATTGCTTCAATTTGGCCGCGCAATCCGCAAATAAGAGGCACGAACGGGGAGCAGGGAAAACAAGATGATTTCCGCCATGAGTTTCTCCATTCGTTAACGAGATGATTGGTTTGTTTTTTTAAGCTATCATTACGTTGTACTTGTACATACTATAAAGTAAATATATATAATCTAATATTGAATAAAAAAAGAAAGGAAAAATAAAAATTGTAAAAAAATGCAAGAGAGATTTTGCAATTATGCAAGTTTTGATATATTCTTAGGATCTGTCCAGACGGATTTGTCTAGCAACGTAAGGTTGCTAAACATAAATACATAATAATAGGATTAAATGTAGTAAAGTTAATACAAGATTTGCCTTGTATTCGTCATCCAACAATAAAAAAATGTTTTTTAATAATTTTGTTATCTAATGCTATATTAATTAAAAAAAATTTTGTTATTAGATTGTTATTGAACTTTATACAAACTGCAAAGCGTGGCATAAAACCCGTACCAAACTACGCATTGAAGATTGAAGATTGAAATTTGACCAATCGAAACAAAAGGAGGTAAAAGTTCTTTGTCCTGATTGGTCAAATTTCAATCTTCAAAGCCATTATGCCCGTATCAGACTATACATTGAAGTTGAGATTGAAGATTGAAGATGGAAATTTGACCAATCAGGGTAAAGAAGTTTTACCTCCTTTTGTTTCGATTGGTCAAATTTCAATCTTCAATCTTCAAGGCATAGTCTGATACAGGCTTTACGATTATGACTAACGACTTTTTTAAAGGCCTTAAGAAAATTGACCAATCAGATGTTTGATATAAAATTTATATATATTATGCATTTATGGAAGTTCTTAAAGTATCTTTTCACGCTCGACGCTTAATTTTAGCGTTAGAAGACATCATTTGACCAAAAACTATTGCAACGATTGTTTATTTTTAGTCACGTGATGTCTTCTAACGCTGAAATTGAGCATCGAGAGTGAAAAGATACCTTTATGGTTGAATATACTCTAATAATGATTTGAAGATGTCGCTACATATCTAACAATTAGTTGATTCATGACAAGTTTCATGGCTGCAATTTTGAAGTTTGGATTACTGGTGACAAACGGCCGGCAAGTTACTCTAAAAGGTATTTAAAAGCAATTACGATAAATCATATTACGCCATATGTCGAAATACATTTGTATTTGAGAGATGTTGAGTTTTATTATATTAGTTAGCGGTGTCAAATGTGTGTTATTAATGTATCGCGGTATAGAAATCTCCTGTTAGGTTATGTCAGATATTATTATCTTTATATTTTTACTTTATAGGTGTGCTAAATATACATCGATTTGCTACAATGTCTCAATTATTGGATAACGTACCGGATGTGGACATCGATGATAATGGAAAATTCAAATATATCTTGATCAATGTGCAAGATAAAGCCAACAAAGCTAGTAAACAGATCGTTAGAGGATATGCAAGAGCACAGTGGCATGGTGAGTTTGTAATACATATATTCATAATATATTTTGTTATGTGATATACTGTTGCATATTATTTTGGGATATTAATGTTCAGTATATTCTATATTGACAATGCTGTATTCTAATGAATGAAAATGGAAGCATCACTTACTAAAGTCATAATATCACAAATTATGGAACATGGATTTTCATTTTTGTGATGATCTGTTTTTATACTTCTCTGAATAAGATCATATTCTATCACAGATAACAATGGAATTTCTATTGGGTTGTGTAATAAGTAATTTTGGAATTTCCAATAGAAAATCTATTAAAAAATCTGAAATTACTTATTATAAAATTCAATATATATTATAATATTCATATAATATTCATTTACATATTTATTATTTACAATACTAAAGATACAATCTGTACAATTTTACATAATTTTATTATGAATAAAAGAGCACTAGTATTGTTTGGTATAGCTGTGAATAGCATCTTACTTAAAAATTATATTGATTAAATTTTATTGTTAGTTATACTGGCTTATTATTTTCCATAAATTGGTCAGTCGATACAGTACTTACTTGCAAATAAAAGAATATAACTCTGCAGGATGTTCCATCGTCACTGAATAAAATATTAATGATAAATTTGACACATTTAAAGTTTACTTGAAAATTGTAACTTTTTATACATATATTAGCTGTCTAGGTGTATATAGAAAAACCAACTTTTGATTTTCAGTTTAATTTAAATGTATTGTATATGTTAAATATTTAATTTGAAGCTTAAATGCCAAAATATTTAATGTTGATGGAGATTATAATATTCCAAAATTGCAAACTTTTATTAAAATTTTTGTTTAAAATTTTTAATTCTCTATTACAGCCATATTAAATTGTAATATTAGAAGTGTAAAACCATAAATTTTTTGCATTACACGTCGAAGTATATTAATTTTATGTATGTTACTCGTATTTGATATAAATATATATTAGTGGCTAAAATATGCCGACATTTTTTTAGTTGTGTGTAGTAAAAAACATATAATGTGTCACAAAATTAATCACTTAATTTTTGTCGCTAATCAATTTTGAACTAAGAAATTAAACAGAAATTGTAAACAGTTATTAATGATCTCAATCTGAAATTTATTAATTATTAGGTGCAAAATATTATAATATTATCTAAGAAATGGCAGTTTTGACTACGCTTGTAAATTTTTGCTGTATTATAATTGTATTTTTTACAATTTTAAGAAAGTTTCACTCAATATTTTTAACCTACGTTATTTTTTAATTGCTTTAAATTGTTTGCGCAGTTGATTCTCTTTAAGGTCTGTTTTTTATAGCTGAACTGGCTGCACTAGTTCAGAGTTTATCTTTCTCCTTCCAATGTGGAGAGAAAAAGATAAACTCTGCAGCCAGTTCAGCTATAAAAATCGGACCTTTAGTTTCCGAATTAATGACGAAATTATTTCTGTCTATAATTGAATTAGATATTATTTTCGGAGTACAATAATAGAATAATTAAATTATTATTTTTGGCATATACATTAATATAATTCTATTTCTTCTTGGGTGTATATCTATACATTTTAAATATTTACAGGTTCTTTTTTATTAAAAAATATTTTTTTTAAGAAAAAATACAGTTACATAAAATAAAGTAATTAATTTTGTGAGATCTTGTTAATCGAATATATAATTTAATTTACGTATGTTTTACATTTCCAATAAAAGTGAAATTTTTGTCAATTAAGATTTATGGCGATATATTGAAGTGGAATAAAATTAGTAAAACTTATGAATTTAATTTATTAAAAAATGCTATGTAAAAAAAATTAATTTATTTTGGCATATAATATGAAAGACGACACATTCACATTATTTCTTGTTTTTAACGACATAATGCAGTGTAGTAAGTAGTAGTTTTACTTTAACATAAAATAAATGCGGGTAAATCGAATCGGCATATTGGATTGTTTTCAAATATTTTGCAATATTTTTAAAACTTCGTCGAATTTATTCACGCTTACCTTGATTTATTTAAAACTAAGATAAATGCGGGTGAATCCGATCGATTTTTAAAAATATAATAAAATACTTAAAAGCGATCTACTTTTTCTGCCGGCCTGATTCATCCGCATTCACCTTAATATGATAATGAGAGACCGGAAGCTTTAGGAAAAAGTCGAATTTACAATTTAACCCTTTAACATATATTATTAAAATTTTATCCAGTGATAGTGGGATAACCTGTACATTGATATTTATAATAAAAAATAGATATCCACCTCTTTGGAAAAATATACTTGATATTTTTAATTCGGTATATATCACTTTGTGTAGACGCAGGTAAATTTTTGTGTGAATGAGTGCGAAGAATGAACACACATCTCGTTCATTCTTTTATATCTTTCCGAAATTAATTCAATGCAGAATCTGATTGTAAATGATTAAGGTGGCAGTAGGAAACTTTTTACACATTAGACGAGTAGGAAGATACGAATGCAAAAAAAATCTAAGCAATTTACATTTAGCAAAGCTTTAAGTGATAGTTTTCGGAGATTATAAGAATATGTTACATATAATATCTTAACATTATCCAAAAAACAGTGTGTAAATATATAAGAGTATCTCTTGGGAGATTTTCTTCGCACATAATAAAAAAGAAAAGGTTTTAAGAAAAGATTTGTCATGCTGCGTTAGGAAATTATATCTTTTTAGTTAAATTTATCTTTTTTTATACTGAATATGATTTCGATATGATACGTTAATAGCAACTTGCTTGTAACTTTACACATTTAATTGCAGCGATGATATTTTTATTTAAATATTCGTCTTTCATCGATCAAATCCTGTCATGATTTATGTGACAATACGAAATGAACGCATAACACACAACTTTTCGATACTTGATATTTTAAAATCTTTCGCAATCTCGCTTTTATAAAATTTTCTCCATGAAATGTAAAGCGCAGTGAGTTGTCAAAATTTATCTTTCTTTTCAAGATCATATAATTCGATAACTTTCGAATTTTTACTTTATTTTCTCCAAGCATACGAAATCCTTACGTTTATGTTTATAACCACCAATTCTAGAAGGAATTGACAAGACTTATTATGCACCGTTTGTTCCGTTAATATCTTGTACAATCTTCGCGATATATTTCTCAAAAAAAAAGAAAAAAAAGAAAAAAAAAGAAAAAAAGAAGAGAGAGAGAGAGAGAGAGAGAGAGAAATTATGATAATAGAATGCTCTCAATCTCCGAGGCTCTGAAAGGAATATTTCCACTTTTCGTTTACTAAGAAGCTCTTCTGAAACAGCACCAAGCTCTTTGAATGCTGACACTGAGTCTGCACGCTTTGGGGTTTGAACTCTTGATAGGCTTCGTATCGCTGTTTTTCCTGACAGACGGCCGCGATATCGCGTCGCCTCGTTGCGCCCGCTCTCAGGTACTGTCACTCTCTTCGCAATGTTCTATCAGATCCACGTCGGTCACCCTCGACTCCTTCTCTTGCTCCTTAATAGCATCCAGCTTATTATCCTTATTTCTATGACTATTGTTGTCCGATTTATCCGATGTCTCCGTGACTTCGTTCGTGCTCTTTCCAAGTTCCTTCGGTTGTTCTCGAACAGGAGATGGGAATCCCACGAGATCCGGATCTATGTTACTGTGCATCAGCGCGAACGGCAGCTTCAAAGACACTTCACCGCCCATCGCCGAGATTAAGAGTTTGACCTTAAAATAAATGGCGAATTGGGATCCTTCCATGAAATTTGATTTTTATGTTACTAAAGGCTCATCTACAATGTGCTTTTTGCGTCTTGTTTCGTGCCTTCTGCTTTTTGTTGTTTGTTTCTTGTACTTTTGTCATATGGAACTGTGAAACATTGTCATGTACAATTTGTTTCTTCTGAATTTCCGAAGAAAAATGTTATTTCACATTGATTAATCATAGATTAATATTCAACAGCACTCTTATTGACTAATGATGTTTAAGGTAATATTTTAAGATAATTTTAATGTATGAACTATGAATATCGATTAAATAAAATAAATAAATATCCGATACCATTGTTGTCATACGATGTTTCTTTGTTTTCTGTCGCTCGAGATAAAAGTTGACGAACTTCGTAAGAAACAAGAAACACGTGACAAGAAACATGATTATCGGTAAAACAGTGCTCAAAGAGATAAAAAGATAACAGACAAAAAGCAAAAAACAGGAAGCAAAGAGCATATTGTAGATGAGCCTTTATTGTTAGCCTCGCGTTGTGCCATCGCAGAATACGAGTCAGTTTTTCCGAATTAAATGAATGAATTGGAAAGAATCAATTTTTTTGTTTCGAGAATATGGCAAATCTGAAAATACGCAATAATAAGAGCATTGTGTTTGATTTGTAATCACATTTTTATGAAACACAAAGGAAATCAGTTTCGAAACAAAAATTTGTTTTCACATCCGGTAATCTTTTCTGCAATGATTTAATTATCTGGGTTTCAAATTACTTTATTTCTAAAATAATCGTCATTACGTTTATCTCATTTTTTTTTATATTTAAAATTACCTTTACATAATAAGACACGTAAATCGCAAAGACGTTCCTATCATCCGGTCCGTTCCCAGGACAAACGACCGTTGACGCCAGAATCGCTCCGGTTTTCGTATAACTATCCTCTAAGGCGATCCAATTTTTAGTCGAGCCCTTAATAGGCCTGAGAGTATAAGGTTTCTTCAAAGTACCACCTGGGCCCACGGGACAATCTTCTTGCGAGGACACGAGGGCCACAACGTTTTTGAATTTGCCATTACTAAACATGCATACGTCCACGTGTTGTACGACGAATACCTGAAAAAAAAAAAAAATATATAGAGTTACATAGAGGAAGATAAAAAACGAATATTCGATAAAGAACTCGATAACAAATCACTTATTCATCGTGAAACGTAATTGGAATTTTATTTTGTGAACAAGCTAACATATTTTCATATAAATTTGACTACGTAAATAAGAAATATTCTTTGTTCAAGCAGGATTTCATATTTGTCAATCGAAGCAAATGATTTAAAGCGATTTGTTGTGCGAATTCGGTGTTTCACAATAAATTTCTTGAGGATCGCGTCTCGTCCACTACAAGATGTGTTCTAGCAATACTTTTCCAGCGATTTCTGATCGCACGAATCGATACATATCTCTGGACATTCGTTACGGCGGATTGTTATTCGCTGAAGCCGGTCGTTTACTTAAACTCGATCACGGAATGTAACTCGTATAATTTACAGACGTGCCTGTTCAAGGGGGTGCCAGTTTGCCGAACTGCTGGAACAAAGTTAACACGGGGGAAGGGTTGCGAACGTGCTCGTCCTTTCTGGCCGATGGGTAGCGTACCGGATGTTCCTATTTTCAAACAATGTTCTCTTGCTGCTGTTAATGAAGCGCAGTTCGAAAGCCTCTGATCGAGAAATGCAATTTCCTGTTACGATATAACCTCGGCATCCTTTGATTTGTTTCTATTCGAGGGCAGGCTTCCATTCGTAAATAATTCGCGATCATTCTTGTAAGAAGGAAATGTCGAACAGATCAATGTGGATTATCGCGAGCCAGATCCAATGTACAATCGTCACGTTCTTTTGTCTCCCGCTTTCCTTATGTATGTGTGTGTGTATGTGTGTATGGGCGCGTGTGTGTGTGTGTGTGTGCGTGCGAACAAATTGAATTATAACTTTGATAGCGTGGCGTTTCTCCACGCTGTCTGTAGATAGCTCTGAGAAGGGAAACGGCTCCTGTCGATTTCTGTCCGTCCTTGCGGAAAATCGCCGATATCGCTCATTGTTCCTTCTTCACTAGGAGGTAAGATATGTTAAAGGATCGAGATGGTATTACTTATTATCGATATATTACGATCTGCTGCTATACTTGTTAAATGTTTCGATTTACTACTAGTCGTTTTTGTTGTTTTTTCATGACTCAATATTGTTCGTTATCAAATATCAACGTTCGACGTTTAAGATATTCGACGTAAAAAATCATATTCTCTTTCTTAGATTTATATATTTTATAACTAAAAAAGAAAAAGGAATTAGTTCCCTTTTGGAGCTGCTTGAAGAAACAAAGTACAAAAATTTTACTACAAAGGTGGGTTTATAACTTTGTTTTTAATTTCTGTGCTTTAGCTGGATAAATAACTTTTATTGGCTTACTCATATATGTATAGAATATTTCACTAGGCACAAAAGGATGCCATGAATTCTTGAGTGAGTAAACGTAGACGCATGTAATGTTTCATTATGATGCGGCTTCTAGACCTAGTTTCTGTGATAACAGCACAGGTGTTTCTAAAAGCTGTAATTAATTTTGCGAAATCATGTTTCTTATATATATATAAGGGATAATCGTTGGCGCAAAGATTGGTAGAATCGATAATTAGGATAGTGACGATGTCTCAGCAAACAGAAGCGATACATGTACGTAAATATGTACTGTGTTATTTCAGATCGTATCTTCTGTAATTTATGTATTAAGTTTTCATAAATAAATTATCAATTTGGCTTTGTATGCTTAGCACGTTTATATAGTTTTACTCGTTAGCTGTACTACTTTTTACCAAAGTCTTGAAGTTGTACATGTTGCGACACTAGTGTTTGTTTTACGTTTCCATTTTACGAGGGTAAGTCAAAGAGATGTTTAAGGAATTAACCCCTTTAAACGAGTTTCTTTACTTTTTGACTCCACGTAAGATATATGTTAAATATAGACCTGTATGCTTAAACATATCCTTGAACATGGTAGAATAGATCCCCTTGAACTTCTCCCCTTCAAAACCAGCGGTTTGTATCAATCAATATCTCGGGCAACGATTGCTATGAACGCATTCCAGTTCTCGCTTTTCTGATAAGAAACCGGAGAGACTTCTCTCGTGCTTTTATTAGAGGTTTGTGCTAAGTTTGTCAATTGTACGTAAATAATATAGATATCTATCTAATTATTTCACATTATAATCTTTTTATGTCTTTTTCATTAATAAAAAATATAGTGGAAGAAAATTCAGAGAAAGAGAGGTAGGCGAGATAAATTTGTACCAGCTGCATGTTGATCTAGTTTCTAGAATTATATGTATGAGTCATTCTTAACTTTATAGAAGTACTGAATCTTAAATATAGATATGATGACACTTATTTTCAAGCGTTCTCTTTTTAAACAATGACACTAAGATTAAATCCTTTTTAAGTATTCTAAGATTTTGCTCTAGAATACTCTGAATTTTAGGTTTTTTTTGTATATTTGAAGAAGATTAACGTACTGGATTGATAGTAAAGCGGAAACGCTTCTCCCCCTGAGCGTTTAATTGTTTCCCTTTAGTATTATATGCGTTATCTTATTACGCAAGTTACATTTACATAGTTATATACGTGCACTGAAGAGAATTGGATTAGGTTTACTAATTTCACCTTAAAGTGTGAACCTTAGACATCTATATTTATGCTAGACCGCAACGGGATCGTAAAAGGGATACAAAGTGTATTCCTGAAATTGGAGTAAATATGGTTGGGATTTATGAAACAATCAAATGTTTTTTGGTAAGAGATATTTCAGGAGTTGTTCAGATATTTTCAAGTTGAATTCCTCTTGCAAATTCTTCATTAAATCGAATGAAATCGCGAAGAAATGTAGTGAAAAAATGGTTATGCGTGTAGTATATATTTTAACATCTTCATCTGACGTAATTATCAATGTAAATATTATGCTAAAATGCGACTGCTATGCAAATAGTTGCCCGCGGAAATTAAAGCAGTTAGGAAGTTTCACCGGATGATACGCCGTCATCAGTGATATTAATAGTTAACAGACACTAATAGTCCAGTATATATAATGTATATGATTACGTAATCAAGCAATCGTGATGTAAGAATATTAGATCTAGCGATCTGGCGCTGCATATGTTTCTACTAGTAACAAATAATAAACATATAACTTATTATTTATTCAGTGAGTTTACATGCAGATCCGTGGAACGTTTTATTAATTTAGGTTCCTGCTTTTAACTCCTCGCGTTTGTAAATTATAATTTTCATTTTAGACTTTCATCAAGAGTCTTTTATCAACTAAATATGAAGAATATTGCATTTTATCATAATAAAAACAGATATTTATAAATATTTGATTCTTTGATAAAGTTAAAAATTTTAAATAATACGTGGAAGAATTAAAAACAATGTAGAAATGCCTTTTTCGATAAAAATAAATTTCTGCATGTAGTATATTCGAAACATTTGAAAAAAATATTTATTGTTTTTTGAAGCAAATATAGAATTGAGTTTATTATGGACTATTTTAAAATATTTTATACTTATAAAAAAAAATAGTTGCTTTTACATAGATTTCATTTTATAAAAATAAAGTTTTATTTCTCTGATCAATGATATTTCCTTCGTTGCGATGAGATATCGTTGCGAGCAGTATTGTATCATTGCACAGCATTTGACTTTTGACGTTTAATTCTCGAGGGCGATTATTCGTGTTATTGTAACAGCCGTTACTTGGTAAAGGAAATACAGAAAATGAAGAGGCCGCAGCAGAGAATGAAAAATGTACGTGCGCACGGGGGTTTGGGTAATATTATTCAATTTTATATGCCCTACCTGGGGTGTTGAAGCTTATCCCGTCAATTATTCATATTGCGAATTAAATTCGATATAATATACTCTCTTTAAAAAAATGTAATGATGTCGAAATGATTAGTTTTATCAAAAAATTGATACGATATAATATAATTGTAGTAGCAAATACATTTAAATTATCAATTATAGATGTATCAGGCTCTGATGATTGTTAAAATCAATAATATTATTGATTTTAAATTATCATGTTAAAAAATACATCTAAATTATCATGTTAAAAATATTTACTTGTATTTATTATAATTTTAAAAAGAGAGATAAATCTTTTAAAATTTTAATGTTTGTTAGACATAAAAATGTAACATCACGTTGAATTATTTCGCGATAACATATTACTTGCTGAAAGAATTGGAAAGGCCAGATTACCTGCTCGAAAGGCGTTAGCGCAAATTCTTTCTATTCATCAAATTTACGCAAGCAAGCAATAGCTTTCTTATTAAGATGCTATGGCAGAGTCTCATAGAGACCAACCGTGCTCATGGGATATGAATGTTCTAACGAGCTTATTAAATTTACGGAAGTCCAACGAGATAGTTAACCTGGGAGCGGCACTATCACGTTTTGAATGTTTAACAAAAGTGACAAATGAGAAGTAATAAGAACCAGAAATGTTTGCTTTGTATTAGCTTTCTGTTAATTAAATTTATTCAAATGATATGTTATCAATTTTACTTAGCGCAAAGGTTTGGATTGCAATAATGTATATAGGCTTATTGTTTTAGAAGCATTTGAAAGAGTAAAGAAGTTATGATAAACTTATTATAATTAAAGTTATTATAATTAAAAAAAAAAAAAATACTTCAATTGAAAAGTAGCGAAACATCTTAGATGGCACATATCGATTATTTGAAAAATGACTGCGTAAAGTAAAATGTAAGTGATGCCCCGGCGGATTAATTTCGACAGTTTTCTTAGGACCTCAGAGCTAAAATAAATTTTGAATTGGGTTGGGAGACCACGTTAGGCCAACTTTATTCGTTCGATGTGTTTCTAGCGACCTCCTGTAAACACGTTATAGAAACTCTCATCGATCGGTCCCTCTTGTTTCCTCTACGAACGATTAAGTTTGTTTTTTCTTTCGTTCTGCCTCACGAAGGACTGCTATCAATTTTAGAAGAGTTTCTTTTTTTTAAACCATCAGACATTTGGTGCGAGAGATTGGAGAAGAAGCAAATGGAATGAATAAAATAGGGAAAATAGCGTACATCTGATAGAGAGAAAACGAGGGAGGACTGGCGTCCCAACTCATGAATACTCAAGTATTCGGATCTCTAAGTAATGTCGAAAAAGGAGCAAGTGGTGAGATACCCATGCGGGGAGGTTGTTTTTTGAAATATCAAGTGTCACACAGCCGCCGCAAATTACGAACGGTTCGTTCCACGAACGAAGAGTACAATTTCGCGTTTATCTCGAATACAGTTGAAATTGATCGCTTGGAAAAAAAAGAGAAAACATGAATTGTTTATTTTTTGAAAACGATAAGGTCAAACGATCAAACTATCGGTATTGGTAACTTTTTAAACTCTGGAGAGGCTTTTAGTTAAATCCTGATTGATTTAATTAAGAATTCAGGATTGCTATCCAGTACGTTAATCCGCGATTATTTGTAAAAAAATGGGTTTTTAATGAAAACATGTCTCACTCGAACTGATTCTTCGTATGGTGTATCATTTTTTTCCTGTATATCAATATTGTTCTGGCTGAAAAAGAGTTGCTTTTTATTTCTGCAGCAACAATGAAAATATTCAGCGAAATGGTGCACGTTTTGCGTGATAGAAGAATGTATTTTTTGACTTTTCTTTCGGTGTCACGATTTTGTACGTATGTGCAAGTAATTTTTATTACGTAATGCCAAATTCCGAATTCTTTGTATCACACATTTATTAAAATTTTATCACATGTAAATCTTTAAATAATAATATACGATTTTGTTCATGATAAAAAGCGAATATATATAAAAAAAAATTTTTTTTTTTTTAATTTGTTGCCGAAGATATTTGCATGTTTCGTAAGTTATAATTATTAAATGAACGAAATAGAAGTTTCTTCTCTTGTGTTTTATCAGTAATTAAAATAATTTAGAGAATACATTTTATGGTCTAGAACACTTGGATCTTGATATTTAATGTAGCGCTAATTAAATACTCGTGGCTTGAAACTTAATGAAAATGGATATGACTACATCAAATGTGGTTCATACCTTTATTCTCCTCACGGACTTGCTGCTATTGTTGTTGACATTGACGTGGACAGTGATTGAGTCTCCGTGAGCGTAGATCGCACGATCTAGCCTTGCTTCTAATCCGACGCGACCGTCACTTAATAGAAATGGCTTTTCTACTGCTGCATGTGGTCCCACGTTCTCTGCGTAAACAGGAACGAAATCTTACGTTTCATTTATCTTAATTTTTTGCTTCGCATTTGTCGCATAAATTTGACCAGAATACTAGCGGAGTGTTTCAGATTCGCATCAAACTCGAGAAGCGTATTATTCGAGAATTTTGAAATCGAGTTCTGTTTTGTGAAGATTTCAATCCAGATTATATCTACAATGTTGTAATGTCACATTCAATTACATTATATTCAAAATTATATAATTTTGAATATAATGTAATTGAATGAATATAATTAATAATGGAATTGAATGAATATGATATAATTATATTATATTATAATTACATTATAATATCATATAATTTGTAAATTATTTATAAACAAGAATTTATTTATAAATAAGAAACTAGAAAATAATATGCTAAATCTGTTTTAAGCGATTTATGAAATGGGCTTTAAAGTAAATTTTATTGTAATAAATTGTGAGTCTTTATTATCTAGATATTCTATCTTTTGTTACTTTTCTTATAATTTTTACTTGAAAGTTGAATATAATTGCGAAAGAAGGTGAAATTTTGATACTAATTTTCACTAAAAAAAATATGATTCTTTTTTTAACTTTACAAAATAATACGTTTTTCTAATTTGGTGGAATTTTGAAAAATACTTTGTAATGATCGATGTTTATAATTATTATCAACGATATAGATAGCAAAAACTGATGAGAGTGATAAATAATGATGAGGAGGGATAAATAAATCTTATTTATTTCTCCGTTATTGAGCTGATTGTCACCGACCTGCATCTTCGATAATCTCATTTTCGATTTCCATTCTTGTTTTGCTCGCTTGACATCTCGAACCAATTGATGGCACTTGAGAGAGAGGCACGCTGTACATAGTTGTCGAGGGTAAAGGTGGTTTCACGGTTCGCTGAATCACTCGAATGCCCATTCTGACGGTGCTTTTACGATGTAATTTTTCGTCCGCACGCTCCGCTGAAATCCGCCGCATGAAACATTAACGATGTATTAAGGATGCAATAAAAATGAAAGCTGACGATAAACGCAAATCAGATCGCGAATTTATTAACTCAGTAAGATTTTGCTTTTGCGTTACGTTAAATTGATCGTGAATTTACGCTGTAAATTCGAAAGTGAGGGAAGATTCTTTAGATTTGAAGATCTTAAATCTAAAATATTACGAAAGACCTTTTGTTTATATAAAGGAAGAAATTGAATACATGTAATATAAATTTGAAAATTTCTTAGAAACTTGATGGTAAGAGTTTAAATTAACTTACTACAATGTTTGAAACAATAGCGGACTTCGAAAGCTCTTTTGTATATCTTATAAAAAATTTATTAAAATACGCTCATCTCTTTTTTGCTTCAACTTTTGCGATTGTAAAACAACTAGAGAAATACAAGACATGTACGTGGATTCAATCGAGTAAACTTCTGCTGTTAATTCTCTATTATCCAAGTCGAATGCGCCGAACTTTAATTATGCTTGCAACTACGTGTCTTGGAGATTGAAAATACTTTCTCTGCAATTTTTTACTTCACCACGAACATTTTCCAATCACATCTTGTTTCGGGTTACCGCACACTATTGTCTTTCTCTCATTCGGTCAAAGTGCATTTGCTGAAACCAGAGAAAGAATGAATCCGTAAAAAAATCGGAAGCTTTTTTCACTCACCGATGTAAGCTCTGACATCGTAGCTGGTGCCTATCGGTGCGCCATTGTATTCTTTGGCCGGTACCAGTTGCACGGATGGTGGAGCCAACGGAGTAATTTCCATAGTGAATGCGTGCGCGTTGGGTCCCAGCCTCTTGACAAGTGCCTCCTGCAACAAAAAAATCTCGATTCAATATTCAGGTTTTTTTAAAATTCTTTTTACTAAATGACCAGTGGTCGAAATTGCATAGCATTCTTTTACGCTATATTACGACTTTTGTGAAGTTAAATTGATAAAAAACATTTTTACGGAATTCAAAAAGTCAGCTAGCAGCTGTTATTACTAGTCATGAAAAATGTCACACATATTTGATTAAATGCACAGGAAAAAAGTATTGCAACAAAATCTATTATATTGTAAAATTGTCTATTATATTGTAAAAGAGAAATTTTTATTTAAATTATTAGTGGCAGTTTGTGAAAAGTGTGACTTTAGCATATTTAATTTTAAAGAGAGTTGAAAAATGATAAAATTTCAAGCCTTTGTATTATCATATATGCTCTGAATTTATTCTGTGTGGTGTATAATGTAAATTATTAATAATGAAAATTTGAGAGAGAGAGAGAGAGAGAGAGAGAGGGAGTTACGCTCAGTACAGTAACTTTGATGTAGTGTATTTTAATGTAGTGGCAACATTTTTTAGCGAATCATATGTTGAAAATGGAACATATGAAAATATGAAAAAATAAATATTGATGCTTTGTCATCGATATTTACGGATATAAATTTCATTAAATTTGCACGAAGCATTACGTATGCGATATTCACAAAGGCACTGTTGTTCTCATCGATTTTTGATTAATGCTCGTGGAAGTTGATTTTGTATTCGTAAATGCACGAATAAACATCAAAGAGCATTTTACGATTTATTCTGCAATTATTAGTGAAACCAAATATTATGAATGAGATATTCACAGACTAATCGCAATAGAAACGCGAATAATAATGCGATAGAGAATTATATATTTGGTATATCTCTCGGTATAAACGCAATGTGATGGAAAAATATTATACTATTAATATTTATCGAGATACAAGACGAAATATATTAGGTTGATTAGAAAGTTCCTCCGAATTTTTCGATAAAAATAAGAGGCAAAAATCCGAAAAAAACTTTCTGATCAATTTAATATTAATTATCTAATCTTAAATCTTTAGAATTCTTCGTATTTTGAACTTTGCAAAAATATTGTATCGATTTTTTTTGAAACTTTATTTTTTATATTATTTTATGTAGTATTTCGAGTATGCATTTAATTTTAGTCCGAATATTTCGAAGGTAAATAACTGTTCTTTTGTAGAAAGAATGCGCGTAATGCACGTAAGTGGATAAAACTAGTGACGCATTTATAGATATATAATTTAAGAAATTTTGAATTATATATAACTTATGTTTGAAATCTAAATAAATATTTTATTATTATTTAACGAGGTTATAAATAATTTAAATGTTTTATACTGAACATTTTCAGCGATAAATATCGCGCTAAATCATAAGCTGGCAAATTGGATAGGTCGTAATTTCATAAATAAATGGTTGCCATTATAACATTTTGATTGAAATATCATATGCGATAGTTAATGATGAATCTGAAAATCCGCATATAATATTCTCATTTTCCATCGCGAAAAGTTCGACCTTGTTAAATTAATTCGAGCCGAGGTCTTCATAAATGTTATAAAGAACGTATTTTTCGGAATTTAAATGGCAAAGATGTGCTGCTTGACTCTTTAAAATGTCGCGCCATAATAGCGTCTTTTTATCGCCTCAAACGAAAGCTCTTCCATTTGGTCTTTTAATCTTTAAGGGCGCAGTTATTAGATAACATGAATAGTTACATAGTGCAAGTTAACAAGTATAGCGATTAACATCGGTGTAATTTTAATTTCGTTTTTAGCAGCGATTTTATACTACTTTGCAATATTTGAGAGGCTAATATAATATATTTTTACAAAGAAGATATTTTGTCGTATGTTTAGCGCACGCTAAATACTTTATTCTAAATTCTACTTAATTATTCAATAATATGTAGACGATTTCCTTCCAAAAATATTTAAATACTAATAATAAGTATAAATGTTTAAGTTATTACTTTTATGATCGATGAAATATTACCTTTCAAAACTTAAACTTGATAATCGATAATGTAATATTGCGTCTTTTTGAAAGTTAAACCTGACAGTCGATATACCTCTATATCTTTTATTTACGATCCGGCATAAATTTTATTTACGATGATTATCTATCAAAATAAATTGATGTACGATATTTGCTTGCAGAAAGTAACGGGGCATCGAACGCCGTGCGACATTAATATACAATATATTCAGCCGCAAAAGTGTTAAGAATTTTCGGATAAATGTAAATAGTCAAAAATAAATAATTTTTTTTGTTGAACATTTCACCACGACACAATGCCGATTATAAATTCACCAAGAAACGCCGTATTAACGCGATGAACTTTGCACACTCTATCTTCGTATTCCACAAATTTCGCAAGTTGTGAAAATATATATCGCCCACGTACGCTCGTGTTCGCCTTAAATCCTCGTCCTCCCTCTTGTGTCCTTCGGTATATTACGTGTTGCGTTTGCGGAACACCTGTGCGCGTAGATAATTTCAAGTCGTCGGCGAAAACAGGAGGTTGGCGCATGCCGGTCTGCGGATGCTATCTTGTCTCATCCGCTTAAGGATTCAAGATAGCGCATCGACGTATGCGCAAACGCGCGTGAAAATGAAACGGAGAATTCTGTCCCCCAGACAGCGGGATGATACAGGCCAGGGTCGGTTTCTCACGGCGAGGTCGAACTGAGTTACGTCAGTTTATATGATTTTGTATAGAGCAGAATTTAGAGTCCTCTCGACTTCTTACGACATTGTCATCTTAAGATGACGCGTAAAAATTGTGCTATTGCGCAGAAAGTACGATAAAAATGTACGTGTCTACTTTGGTGCTCAGAATTCTTGAATACGGACGGAGGGATTTAAATTTGACAAATCTAAATGTAATTTTATTTTCTTCAAAAGAATATCAGAATTTTTAGAACACTTATATTTGGATTATTAAAATAAAATATTGTTTACTGAATTTTATGAATATTGCAAAAATTTTACGCAATGCGAAAAATTTGTGATTCTAAATGATTATCGTCTAATGTTGCTTAAAAAAATCATTTTTGTGTTTATCTGTGACTAAAGCTCTTATATTTAATAAAATATTTTATTTCGTTTTAGAACGCTTGTAGAATAAAATTTTATTTAATGTTGAATTTTTTTTAAAACAAAAATTTTCATTTTAAAATAAAAACTTTTATTTCAGAGTTTTTATTCAAGAAAGATTGAAAAGTTTAACAATCAGTGAGATCAGCATTAAACGATTTTGTTTTTTAATTAGAAATATTCCAACAATTTCCAAAATTCTCTTCTAACCAAAAATTATTTTTTCGCGTTTTTCCCGTTTAATAATCTAACATATGAGTTACATTTCGATCAATATTTGTTTTGTTCCTTATTTTTCGTATTTCATATTTAATAAAATAATTCCTTTTATTCTCTACATTGACTGAAAAGCGTTATACTGTCATGAATTTATTTTCAATTCTGGCTTAAGATTCCAAAATAAAAAATTACAAGTACAGAAATCCTTTTCTAACGAAACTTTGTAACATGAAAATTCAGAAAATGTCTTCACAGATTAAATAATAATAAACAAGAAAATATTTAAAAATATTTGGGATAATAATATACATTATACTCTGAATTATTATTTAGCAAGCAATGTGTTTTGTAAGACATCTGTAATTAATATTATTCGTTCTGTGATGAACATTTTATATTTTCTTAGTATAGTTATTGGGTTTGGATTAATTAATATAAAGCGATGTATTGATACACTTTGTTATATATATATATATATATATATGTATATATATTTGTCGTCCTGCATATTTTGTTGGAACAATAACCTGAGTCGCATCTTAATAAGGATTGTATTTGATCATGCATTTTCCAGTGGTATTCGAAATTCGAAGGATCCTCTTACATCATGACCTATTTCAACAAGGTTTCTCTCATAGAATGTGCATACAAGTACACAATGAGTATTGATTCCAATGTATCATTCGTTGACGAGAAGTTCTGATTACCTCACAATCTGCAAATTTCTTTTTATTACAATAGATATTCTAACTATTTCTTTTCTTATATATTTATGGGTTTATTAAAATACTCGTGGAGTTAGCATTGATAATTATCTATTTTTGAACGACACAAAATCTGTATTATTTTATTGTCTTTTAATTATGTTTATAAGAGCCTAAAACATTGATGAAAATAATGATATTTATTATATATACGTGATTTGATTTACATAAAATATACCAATTGATTAATGCTAGAGAAAGAGAGAGAGAAAGAGAAAGAGAGTAAGAAAAAAAGAAAGAGAGATAAAAATATATCAGTAAAATGTTTATTTTATTTTCTGTAATGCTAATTATTGTAAAGAATTGCTTATTATTTGCGATGTTGTGAAAGTCTAGTCACTAATTTTTACCATTTTACCACCGTAATCGTTGTAGATATATTTTTTTCACTAACCAACCAAGAGGAAAAACATTTGTGGTAGGTAGAAAAAAATAATTAAAAAAAAAAGAGAAAAAAAAGACGTTGACGTATACCGAGCGTGAACATTTTTTTGTGCCGCAGGATGCGGCTAACTGCAATTTATTTCTTTGGCCTGCCAACTGTATGCAGACGGAAATGCAGCGATTTACACGTGCAAAAATCGCGGTACTTCGGCGTTTAACGTTGAAATATTTTTCGCTAAAATTCTATAACGTAATAGCATGCAATTTGTACGCATCGACGTACATGCAATTTCGATCTCGATAATCCTAACACGATCGATTCTAAAAATTCATCGTATTAATTTCTCCTGTATCGTACGGACAATGTTTTCCATCCAGCGAACGCGGCCCTTGAGCGCGGTCGTATGTATTTCCGATATTTACTTGATGCGTGTTGTTAATGCATCTCTCGAGCGGTGAAGCATTTTCTATGTGCATTGCGTTTATCTTCGAATCGATCCTGGCGAGTCGTTTTACGTAATCCGCGCTGAATGGACGGTCGCATAAAACGTTATATTGCTTGTTGAAACCATATTCAGCGTCGCGGTGGAAAGACGAGGTGCGATAAATAATTTCCACGGTAATCAGCGAGACTTCAGATCGCGGTCAAGGCCGTGCTTTTGCGAGAATGATTTTGCTACGTACTCGAGATTTTGCCGAAGATTTTTCTTGATCACGGCAAACGCGTTTTCCACGCTCTTACGAGAGCCCTTCAACGAAAATTCAATCGTACCATTGTTTCAATATTATCGATCGCTGTCGATAATATGCAATTTTCTCATGAATTGCTTTTGGTCATAAATAACCTTCAGCCTTTTTAAAAGTGCGAAATATAACAATGCGTACGTGCTACTGCTTTGCTACTTGGAAATAGATTGTTACAATAATTGTGTATTGATGTAAATAAAATATTGTAGTTTTTATATCAAATCGCTATAGAAAAATAATAAATTTGTTGTAAATGGGATTATAGAAATTAATGGAACGTAATTAATGGAAATTTAGTACAGAATCAAATTATATTATCTATTTTTATTTTATTTGAAAATGAAATTAAAATATTGATATGCATATTATGTGCATAATTAGCATTGTATTGGATGTATAAGATATTAATAAGCTTACATTTGCGTGTGTTTTATTTGTTAAATAACGTATCTTTTTTTGCGATACGTTGTAATGGCCAATGTTGTGTACTTGAGAGAACCCCGACAAAATCTTGTATATTTCTTAGGATTAAATATAACTTGAAGTTTCCTCATTTGTTTTCATCATCCGCAGAAATGGCAGGAAACAGGTTTCTTCATTTTATACGAAATTTAATGGTACATATTATATTTCACTGAAGCTTTTCAGGCTGCGTTCTTTCGTTTTTCACCGATTGAATAATTTTGTCAAGCATGCTTGTATCAATAAAATTGCAGCTTTTAATTCTATTTATCCTGCATGAATGTGCATTTATATTTGCATTGTAAAGGTAAATGCGCATTGCATGATATCGCGAATATTAACGATTAACATGGTCTGTTGAGATCAACGTTTCATTTTAATTACTTTGTTCTTTCATCAATGCATTGAAATTAATATGAAAGTCAAATAGAAAATATTTGAAAAAACAGACATATTCATGCTTGCAAATTTTTGTATTTACTAATTACGAGATTTTCCGACTGTCTGCTCGTGAACTTGTCTTTTATTCAATGCTTAAGCTATATCCTACAAAGCTACATATACTAACTTTGTTTCCAGTTTGTTAATTATGTGCTGTAATAAAGGAGCATGTTAGTAATTATATTACTGTGAAACAAGATCAGGTTAGATCTTTTCAAGAGAGATTTTAATTATGTTGGCGCAGTATTAATGCATTTATCATTTTATTTATATTAAGGTTATAATACCGGAATCCACTTGAATATTAATGTTACTTTTGCATATTTGATTTGTGATAAAGAAATTACGTCAAATATGATTTATCTCTAACGTGCGTTAATTTCGTTATAATATATCGATTTTCTCTGGCCCGACAGTTCATATATAATAATTCACAACGGAATTAAATCCGACTGGCATCTCATTTTTCTCGATTTTACGAGACATGTTTCTTTACGCTGAAAAATCTGGAAAGAAATATTTTCATCGGATAGCCCCTATTAGTGAATTTATCGCTGCAATCTTTTTTTGCTCGCTTGTGAAGAGAATTTTTCACAGGGCTCTGACGTCGATCAAGTTATGGGTCTCCATGGAGACTCTGTTTTTACAAAAAATTTTGATTTTCTTCGGCACTTACCCTCGTCAAGATTTCTACAAGATATTTACAAAGTCGACAAAAACGTGACGATACGTCTTTACTGATAAAGGATAATTAAAAAATCGATTTTATCGTATTATTTCAATATAAAAAAAACCCGACCTGCCATTATCGAGAGACAAGACGGTCTCTTTTCTATTACTTTTAAAATTTTTTCCGCTTGGAGGGATCAGTGTTGCGTATCGTGGATTAATCTGTGGATCATTAATGGTTCCGTCCGGAATTGAAATTCAGGTACAATCGCAAAGCTATCCAATTATGATTCTTTTGGTTTTTTTACATTGTCGAAATTGTTGAAAGTATGTTGGACATTAGTTCGCGCGCGTTGCAGTATCACCAAAGATTACGAGGATTTTATTGTTAAAATTACATTTGCGATTATATTGGATTCTCTTATGCATGCATGCTTTTATCGATTTCATAATATGCAAATAGCTTAATGCGATATTATTGCTTATTAATAGCAATATTGCTAATTTTCATAATTTTAATTTATATTTAACTCAGTCTTTTAATTATACTTACCGGAGGGATTATTAATATTAATTGTTTGTTCAGTTTTGTAACTGATGTTTATACCTTTTATTTTTCTGCTTGTTTTTTTTACTTTTTTCTCTGCAATATTCTCATTTTTTTTTTTGCTTGTTTAAATGTACATCACGGCAAGGTTGGTTTAAGTGTAAAATTATTTTAGTTTCGCTGCACGTTAAACGAAAATACATTGCGAGATGATGCATTGCTGTAATCAGCGACGCCTTTGTACTTGCATTCCAAGTTTTATGATTATACCGCACTGAATCTCGCTCGGAGTCGGTCACGCATACGATTCGTGCGTCATAAAAACCAGAGCGTTTGAAGTTGCAAAGTTGAATTGACGGGTCGCAGAAATAGTTTCGCGAACTTGATACGGAAATGTGGTCTATATGTTAGTGAAACATTTCCAATTTCCCGCGATAAATCCGATACGACTTAGTGTATTGAATCGTTTGCAGTAATTGCTAATTGGCATTTTTTAAATACGAATTGCAACTAATATAATTACAATATAATTTTAATGGGCTCTTCAATTGATAGAACAATTCGAAAAATTTTTAAGAGCTAATAAGAGCCAGAGCCAGGCCGTAACGCTCAACATTCCAATGTATTGTATTTAAATATACATAATATAATTTAAATAAATTTAATCTTTCACGCTATTTTTCACGACAGTGTGTAACGCCGATTGTTTATTTCCACAAATAAATTAGAGATCTTTTTCATCGCTGTGATATCGAAGCTGAATTTGTCAAAATTGGATCAATTTGCTTTTAGAGACCTGTAAAGAAGATATTAGTCAATTGAAGTATTCTCGTTATGGTGTAATGAAGATATAATCGGATTTGTGGCCGGAAATTCATTTATCATTTCATTGCTTCGTCCTCCCTGCGACTTTAGGGATTATCGATATCTACTAGTGCCGGAACATCCCTTGATTACATCCAATATTCTGTCGAAATACATCGCCTCGAAATTAATACAGAACATAGTGCAGGATCGCGAAATACTTGAAATTCTACATTCATACGGTATAGTTGTATCATGCTTATTTCCTTATTGAATATGCTGTTGTGATGTCATTATAATGTTATCCTAATCATTACACTGTCAAGTGAAACAGTTGAGCTAATTATTAAATTGCACAAACCGTGATTCCTGCGATGCAGTTTAATCAAAAGGGAAGCATAAATTCCATTTATACTCTAACCCAAATCCTTGAGGCTCATCGACTATATATATTTCACGTCACGCGTTTAAGACATGGCTATGAATATGTGTGCTCTCTTAGCGATGATGTGAGTTTCAACATATGCATACGAGAGTGTGTTCTAAAAAACGTACGAAAACTTATAAACCCACGTCAAATTTTTGAATTTATTTTCTCCATTTCGAAATCTTCGTCAGAGTATTAGGTCGTTTAAATTATGAAATTTTTTCTAGAATATTTTACGCGAAGTGAGGAATTTATTATTTATTTAAAAATAACGCATCGAATAAAACTGCTATTTTTAAAAAATAAATTTTATAATAAAAATACGATTTGTAATAAATTTCTACATTCCCGATTTATTACAATATGATTCTGCATACCAACCTGCAACGGAGTCGTGCTTTCTTGGTGATCAGATCCTGTGTAGGGTGGATACAATTGGGCGAGACACATGACGGCTTCGTTGCAAAATTTTAGGCCCATTACCTCCTCGTCTTCTCTTCCATAGCGAAAAGTTAGCGTCACTTGACCGTATACCTTAAAAATTACAATTTATCTTATGTTAGCATAATATGTATATAGTTTTTATTTATATTACAAATTTACTGCGTATCTCAATTATTATGGCACTAAATTGACTAAAGTATTATGGCGTATAAAATGTGTTTGAATATATCGCACATTTAGCAGTGTTCCAAAATATATTGTCTCGTTAGAAATAGGTAAATGAGTTTGCCAAGGTTGGGGAAATAGAGTATGATTAGTATTTTATCTCTTCCATTCTGGAAATTGGATTGTTCTTCCGAACTTTAATTAACGTTCTTCTGATCGAATGATGTGGCGTAGGAAAGCTTCCCGGTAGATTTAGTACTATATCTATATACGAACAAGATTCTTTAAGTTCGAAGAATTTATGTCGATCATTGAATTTAATTTCAGGATTTGGTAACAATTTCTAGAGATAAAATTTTTTAATATTAAAAAATATCAAAAAATTCTATAACTAAATTAAAAACAAGTTTGTAAAAAATATCAGATTTGAGTATTACACGCGAATTTATCTTTTTAATAAATATTCTAGTAATCGCATTGAAAATAACATTAAAAGAAAATAATTCGTCCATCCGCGTTATAGTGGCTTCTTACCCTTTTCTCCTGTAAATAATCGGGATCAACTAAAAGGACACCCTGGAGTTTATCGATCCTGTCTTCAGTAACAATAAGATCCCTGCTGGCTAGGTAAAGCGTCAATTTATTATTTGGTGAGGATTTCTTGTACACCCTGCAGACCAGAAAATATCTTGTATTAGAAGAAGAATATCTTGAAAAATTATATGTATGTATATTAAAAGAAGCTTAATAGTGCTAGCAATCGAGTAAATATGTTACAAAATTTATTCATTAAAGTTGCAGTTTGAATATTTAACGGTGAAGATACTTGTAAATCCTTTCACATTTGAACAGCATTTGATAGTTAAATAATTTACATGTCAAAGAACTGATTGACAATAAAATAACATGCTATATATTTTTTTGTAAAATATAAGTGAATAGGTATAATATGTCAGAAAAATATGATTCTTGTGTCATTTTAGTTTTTTGGCAATTTAATTTTCGATTTTCGATACGTAAAATAAAAAAATTGAAAAAGTAGTTATAAACGCAAAAAAGGGCAAGCGTGATATACTTCACAGAAGTATTAGAAATTCATTGTTTAGCAAAATTTTCAGGCAAAGATTTATTATTTCTCGGCGACGCGGAGTCTATGCACCTGTCTAAGGTAATCTACCGGCTAATTCGTCTTTGTGGCGAAGCAGTTTCTGGTTCAGAACAGTTGCCTGCAATTACAGTCCAGATTGTATAGACTCAATCCGCTTTATTCCATTTATCGTTTATCAAGCGAGCTATCAATTTCACCGAGATTTCAGCCGTCCGTCGTTCGTTACTAACTATATTCATTTGTTATCATGGCATGTCGTCAAAATGCGCAACGCTCTTCGTTGCGCACGCACACTGCGCAAATATATTTGTTCAGGCGCGATTGTATATCAAGATGTAATTATATTTGATTCCAGGTCTTTTTCATGAAGTGATATAACATAATGGCATTATTATTAACTGTATCGTTTAACGTGGCGACAATTAACAATGAAATTGCTAATTATTGGTTCAATTTGCTTGAAAGTAATCGTTTGTAAGCTGTAATTAAAGTAAATGATTCATGTTCGGGATTATTAGCTCGTAATCAATTGTTTCGCATTATCAAGGCTGTTTACTGCAGTATTTAATGTACAACTTTGCAATAATTAGCGATGATAAATTTAACGATTATTTAGCACTTCGTTTAGCTGATAATAATTATTTGAAACGTTTGCTTTATCAACACTATTGCAAATCTCATACAAACATGCATTTGAAAACGGCTGTTAAAACCGCAACCGGCTTAGTGCCGCTTAATTTGATTTACACTATGCGTGTATATCTTATGTTCGATGCTGATAAGTCAAAGTAAAATTTCAATGATGAGATTTGCGTTGTTTTGCATTTTTGAATTTTTCAAACTATCAGAATTATATTAGAAACGTGAAGAAAATATGATTCGTGAAGGAAATGTGAAAAATCTTGTTTAATTGTGATAATTGTGCTAAAAATTTATATCATTATTAAAAAATTAACGTCGACGCAATCGCATAACATTAATACATGTGATTAGCTTATAATCGATATTTTATGATACATATTTACGTATTATTAAGCATTATTGATTTTTTATAACAAAGTCAGAGATTGATTGATGTGAATACACCTTACAGTGACTGAAATGTTGTAATTAAACTTTGCAACAGAATTTATTATGTAACGGTCATTTTTGTTATTCTTACAGAAGCCACGTTCTTTAATTAAAGATGAGGGTTGTGCGTATTAATCATACTTTTCTCGACATAGCTGTGCGTATATTTATCGGATGAATATTTGCAAGACATTTACTGTTATGACGTGCTAAAAAGCAGAATTTATGATGAACTAATTATATTCGTGGAGATCTTTCAATCGAAACTCTCTGATGCTCTCTTCACATGAAAGCGTGAAATTTTTTATTACTTTATTACCACTTTTTATTAACATTATTTAATAAAACAAATATTTATTCTATATTCAAAGTTCGTAGCTTTTTAAAACTATACTGAATAATGTTTGTGCTTGAATAATCCATTTTTATTGGAATTAATGTAATTAAAAAATTTATTTACTTATATATTTTTTCAAAACATATATTTATAAGATGTTGGCAGTGTTATGGTTTTATATGTGAAAGTGCTCAGTGAACCGAACACATATTTAGAGTAAATCTGAATAAAAAAAAGCATTCTTGTTTTATCGTTTCCAGATTGCCTTTTTGTATGTATTTCAATAGCGTAGTGGATAGCTAAAAAACAACAGCGCCTCAAAGCAAATAAAATACGATCGGGTAAATTGAATAAAATAGCGAAAACGTTTTAAACACGAGATAAAATACAACGTATCTGCGTGATAAAACAAGATTTGGCCATAGTATTTATCAGAGGAAATAAAATGCCGTTGGAGTAAAAGTTTGTCGCTAATTTTGAAAGTAAAATATTTTGACTTAAATCAGAGACGGATTCATCTGCGATCGAAAAATGGTGTTTTACGTATAAACGTTTTTACTTTGTATAACTTTGCACAACTTTTATCAATGATATGGGATTAAAAATGTAACGCGATAATATTTTATGCATTTCAGTTATATATTCTTAAATATGCTTTTAATATTCATTCGTAGTCGATGTATTGATGAAACGTTATATCCGATGAGAACCTAGCGATAAATCACGTACGCTTTATATATGAATATTCTTGATAATATATAGATAGATATACATTTATATGCACGATTTGGAATTAATCTTTTTTGCATTTCCTTTTGTACTATCCTATATATTTTTATTGGCGAAACATTACTTGGAGAAAAATTCTCTCTTTTTATAGCCGTGCAAATTCAGGGCATTATCCCTTCAAACTTTCTGAAGCGAATTGTCTCGACCGTAAATATCCAATACTTTTTTTTTCTACCGAGACAGCTATACATTATGAACAAACGGGTCAAGGGTTTCTCGCAATTTTAATTATTCAGTTTTTTCAGCTTCTAATGACATTGGCATAAACGTAACACGCACGAGCAGATTTTGGCTCGCATTAAGTTTTTATTAGAGCTATTAACGGTATTAAAATTATCAACGGTGCAAATTATTATAACGAGTATTTTAATGAATTTCGACAGTAATGAATTTGGACAGGTTACATCTTTCGTTTTTTATCATAGTTATATCTAATATAGTTTTGTCATAATTTTGGTATATTAAATTTAAATTAGAGATAAAGTAGTTGCATTGATAGTTTTGATGCGTTTAAAAATGTTAATTTTACACAAAAATAAAATGTAATATGAAGAAAAATATGAAAAATATGCTTGTTTGCGATCGCAATTTATATTTCGATAATTGTTTCAAATCGACGTTCTTTAATATTACCTTTGACTGTTGAATGTTGAATCCAATACATGATCCGGATTCGCATCAGCTTTCCTGAAACATACAAGAAATAAATCGTATTGCGCATTGAAAGAACGCATTTACTTTTGATGCGAGCAAACGAAATAGCTAAATAAAGATTCGAGCATTTCCGGCAACTATTTGAACATGCGTATAAATATTTTGAAGACAGAAAGTACTTTATCTATGGTTTACAAAATCATTGATATAAAGGTTGGAGAGGAGCAATCTCGACTGTTGATGTTTCACTTGCCAACAATATTATGCAGGCTTATTTATTCCATTCACGTTTCTCGATCGTTCAACTGTAAAAGTGCAACACGTGTCACAGTGTGAACCATTATTACGTCATGTTTTTATAGGATGATATTCATATTTTTTGTATCTAGATTTATATATATGCCAAGTAATGGGAAAAAAGGGAGTGATTAATCAAATATTTTAAATTTTTCGAGAAAACGCGATTTATCTAACATTTCAAGTTGCATAGAAAACTCTTCTTTGGCGTTGGAAAGATTTTTTGCGTTGAAATTTTGTCAGTTTGGTGCTTGCATTGTTTTCTACGAAAATATTCTGTTTTTAAAATACAGTTCCTCTTCTGATCTAAAAAGGTTTTAAGCGTGCTTATAATTTCATGTAATTAGGAAAATTTTGAGATATTTTCAGGGACTCCACGTGAGAATTGCTGATGCGAAATTATTCAGACGAAACGACGCGAGTATAACTTTAATTAACAAATCAAAACGTGCGGCTTACGCCGTGTGAGTTACCGGATTCGTACACCGGATTCGTAATTTGTCACTGTTTTAATTGTGGGTTTGTTTCGCGTTGTGTAAGACAGACTTTTGTGAAGCTTTGCAGAAAATGAAATAAATATGCACGAGTTTGCGCGACACGGCAGGAATATTCTCGACGCAGCTTTTATATCTGTAGCTTAATTTCTTCCGAGGCTGATGTACAGGAAAAATATTTCCCAAGCATGGTGGAAATGCCCGGTCAAATCAATAATATTGAAAAATATTTTAGCGATACATTCTTCACACAAATTTGGAGTCAATTTTGATTTTAACAAATATTCAAACGTTTAATTGCGGAAATATTGAAGATCAAAGATTTTAAAGCGAATTTAATATTAAATATGCAACGGGATAAAAAAAATATATTTATGGTTAATCAGGCTTTATATTACTTTGTGAAATTTAATTATCAAGAGAATAAAAAATTATATTATAAATTAAAAATTTGCGATCGCTTAAAATCTTTTACTGAAATGTTAGTTAATTGTAGAATATCTTTTTTTCATCACATTGTTATAAATAAATTAGAAAAGACATATAATTGCCATCTACTAAAGTGCTTAGATGTGCTTAGACGATTTCGATCACAGCGCAATTAAGTAGATCGTAAGACGTGACGCTAATAGGTCTACGTGATTGTAATTTATCGCAGTGGTAATTGCATTAGATGGAATTCTACGCGGCACAAGATACATTATATCCAATGAAAGAGATAAATAGCTTGTCAGCGTTTTGTAATATTTTTCGGTACATCGCTGCTTGTACTGATTTCAGTCATATATGTTTTCGTTATTCTTAGATTACACGTGTCAAAATTAGTCCTGATTGGTATAGTATGTCGTTAAAAACTTCATTCTAAAAGAGAAAAAGGTAGCAAATTTTTCATAATTTGTCAGCGTTATGAGAATTAATTATTGGCGGCTGTTATCCGCAAATGTGAAAATGCAATTTTTTGCAGTGTCAATTAACACGCTGTACATGTGCAAATATGTTTCGGAAGGTAACTGGGAGAAATTAAAATGCTGGAAATTATTTTCATTATATCCTTTCATTTTAATAATTCTGACTGCAAGGTAAATATATTCATGTTTATACCTTTCCATTAACCCAATTAAGAACTTTTTACTTTCAATATACCATGAATCTTTTAAAGTAGCATTGCTAATATTCGATATTACCATGTTAACTTATTCTGCTTGTAACCTCGATTCGGTGCATTGCAAAATGTTGAAATTGGAACGTTTTATAAAATCATAATGCCTGATTTTAATATCAATTTTGTTACAAAAATATTCGAATCGGTGCCGAATCATAGCGGTGAAGCGTATGAAGCTCAATGAAACAGAAATGCGCGCAAATCTTGAAATGTACGTTATTGCAATGTGCAAAAAAAAAACTGCAGTTTGACATTAAGATTTAATTGCCGTGATTCATTGGCATGTAAGCATTTTAAATGATGCATATTGCAACTGACGCACCATATAAAAAATATGTCTCGATATATTACGATGTTTTATGATGAATGCTGATTGATGCACGTACGGAATTGAAGTGACCTTTTCTTTTATCTAAATCACAAGTGTAGCGCAGAGAGTTTTCATTTTAAATGTTCAACTTGGATGTTTGATTGAACAGTATTGAACGAAATTGGCAATCTGACAAAATTTTATTGAACGTTATAGGAATCGTAATTTCTCAATGCAGTTTTTGTGCATTCTGAATTTTGCACGAATTCGCATTTGGATAGATGACTTTATTGCCTGTTTATTATCGTATTACTATTTATTTTTTTTTATTAAGTAATATATTTATTACAATTTTATATAGCGTTATCAAAAGAATGTTTCATATTTCTTGAAGATCAAGTGTCATCAAGTACGTTTTATCATCATATACGCGCGTAGTCACAGGAATGTAAATTACTGCCGCACAAATATTCCCGCACGTCCTCCTCTTTAGATTAATATTACTTCACGCGTTCACAGTAAAATACATGGCATAGGCATTGCAGTGCCATAATCGAGTTACCGCAGTTTCAACTTTGTTAACCGTGCTTTTCAAACCGAATGCAACTGAAACAATCGCACGGTGCAATCGCTCGCGTCTTCTCCTACGCGTTCGAATTTCAGAGTGCATCGAGACATTAACGTCAGTTGTTTCGCACCGCCGCCCATTATCGGGCGTCGTTTTACGAGCATGCTACGCGACGATGACGCGCAGCAATACAGGGATCTCGCGGCCAGGCGCGGCACGGAAATGAATTTCGCGCTTGTATATCCCGAAGGCCGAAATCAAAGTGAAGCGGACGGAATAAAATTTCTGCCGTCGACGAAAATGCACGCGACGCAGCTCGGTGTAGCGACGCAATTGTGCCAAGAGAGGCCAGATATATCGGCGATGACGCGACGTCCAACGAGCGAATTCGATATATGCGAACGGATCCATACAGCGCGGACGCGGGTCCACCGGAAAATAAACCTTCGATTTTTATTAAGTTGCTTTTTGTCATAAAGTGTGATAAACGGGCTGAAAAAAATTTACCACTCTGTTTACTTTGTAACCGACTGATTTGTGCGGGGATGAAATTAAGGGGAACGGTCGAATTTATCATATGTGCCTTTCCGAAACGAAATTGACTCTTTTTCGGCACTTTTCGTACAAGCCAGTCGGTCGTAAAATAGACGAGGTTGAAAGTTTTTCTTTTGGCCCAGTCTGAATATATCTGCAACGTTAAAAATGTAATGGATGTCTCATATTTCTCTATTCTCTCTTTCTCAAATAAAAGAAGAAATATTGGACATATTCAATACTTCGGCGTCAAAAAAGGGTGGATAACGTCTGAGTACGTATGTACATTGATATAGATATCTGCGCGAAAATGTCACTGATTATATTCCTACGGATTTAAAAAAAGTATTTAAAAAAAATATTAAATTCAGATCTCGAAGAATCTCGCTGCTGACGTAGATCGACAGGCGTGAAATGTGCTCGCTTCGAGACAAAGTTTAATATTCTTGTAGCTGTAAATTGAATCGTGATCGAAAATGGAATTATCGAAAATGGGAAACAAATCCTATAAGCTAAAAGTTGTCAGCGCATCTGTTGGCGGGCCGGATAAAGTAAGCGATGTTTCAACCTTCTTATCATTCACGTGACTGACATTTTGACATTTTGTTTTGATGCTCGATTCGCTCTGGTAGATCATAGTTGATTCAACGATAATACGGTGAAACAGTTCAATGAACATTGTTGTTGCACGCTGCTCTAGTAGCAACAAGCATCTCGGCTGAAGCGTTACTTGTGATTCAGCGAGATCGTAGCGAGACCCTAGACGGTCGTCTAATTTGTTACCGTAATGAAACGACGTCTGGTTCATCACATCGAGAAAATAGTTTTCCTCCTCCCTTTATCGTCGAATTTCCATTTCACAGTCTTATTAAACGTTCTGTGAAATTTTCATTTTGCATTTCTGATGACTTCTCAAAATCTGATAAATTGTAAGGTAAAAAACCGGATTCGCACGAGAGAGAAATATGAAGATTTTGTTTTGAAATTCGAATAAATAAGAAAAACATATCTCTTTGGATATAACATGTATGTGGAATAAATATAAAGAAAAAAATATTTTTATGTCTGTTGTTTCGCATGAATGAGAATTCTTGCGCTCAGAATCTGAGATCCGATAAGAGATGGTGAAGTATTTATGCGATCATCAAAGCGATCCTTGCGATGTTTTCTCTCCTCCACAACTGATGGGAATGAACTTAAGGTTAAATACGTCGTATTTGAACTATCGTCATAAGTTGACAATGTCCATGCGTTGTCATTTGGAATTGTTTCACGTTCAAATGACGTGCAATCGTAACGTAGCGCGAATCAATAAATGCGCTACGTTGCATTGGTATGCATGGGACGCTCTTGCTAAATGGATCGGAAACGACGCCCGTTATGTTTTATGTAATATCATCGAGAAGCTCGCATCGATATCTTGATATGCGTTACACACAACTATATTATGATACTATTTGTTCAGCTGACACATTCTGCGCCGTTCACGAACGCACTTTATTCGATTATAATCTCGTATCGAATTTTTCTCAGCGATTTGAATCGAATTCCGGCTAATAAAACGTTTTACTATCCATAAATCTGATCAAAAAAATAAGCTAGATAATGGAAATTTGTGCAATTTACAACATTTTATTTGAACACATTTAGATTTTATTATATTTAGAT